ACACACACACACACACACACACACACACACACACACACACACACAATGGAATATTATGCAGCCATCAAAAGGAATGAGATCTTGCCATTTGCAATGACATGGATGGAACTGGAGGGTATTATGCTGAGCTAAATAAGTCAATCAGAGAAAGACATATATCATATGATCTCACTGATATGAGGCATTCTTAATCTCAGGAAACAAACTGAGGGTTGCTGGAGTGGTACGGGATGGGAGGCATGGGGTGGCTGGGTAATAGACACTGGGGAGGGTATGTGCTATGGTGAGCACTGTGAACTGTGTAAGACTGTTGAATCACAGAACTGTACCTCTGAAAAAATAATACATTATATGTTAAAAAAAAGAAGATAGTAGGAAGGGAAAAGTGAAGGGGGGGAAATTGGATGGGGAGATGAACCATGAGAGACTATGGACTCTGAGAAGCAAACTGAGGGTTCTAGAGGGGAGGGGGTTCGGGGGATGGGTTAGCCTGGTGATGGGTATTAAAGAGGGCACATATTGAATGGAGCACTGGGTGTTATTCGCAAACAATGAATCATGGAACGCTACATCAAAAACTAATGATGTAATGTATGGTGACTAACATAACATAATAAAATTTTTAAAAAATGCAAAAAAAATATTGGAATAACTTTGGGTAAACAACATTATACTCTGAACCTTGATTTCCTTTGCCATAAAAAAATCAGAATAACAAGTCAGCTCAAAGGCCATATATTTCATAAAGATTTCCCTGACTGCTTGACCCTCCATCCACCCTCCACATCTAGAAGTTCTACTTCATCTTGGTTATATATTCCACTGTATTAGTCAAAGTGTTCATCTTTCTCTTGGTTGTATACAAACTCTTAGGGAGTCCAATACAGTTAAATGAGTTTACATTCTGTAAAATGGGTTAAGAATGGAGGATTGTATAGATATAGATTAGATTCATCACTTCAGTTTACAGTCGTAGTATTACTGTCAGAATTAAATAATACCGAGTGATTTACACGGCTAATTACTTACATTGGTAAATGCCCAGCAAATACTCTATTACAACATACTGTATCTCCACAGCATATTACAAACACTAAATCCTAGGGATTAAATCCTCCCACTACTTTCTTGCATTATTAAACTACTAAAAAAAATAGCTTACATTTATGCTATTAAAATATTAACCAAAATTTAAATTGTTCTATTCAATTCATACCTCAAAAAACAAGATGACTTTAGGGCTCTCATCAAAATCTCGAAGCAAATGGGAGAAGTTTTCATTAAATATAATTTGTTCTTCCCACTCTGGAAGTCTTGATTTTAATTGTTTAAAATCATATGGTTGGGTCATAATAGGAAGAATGTAATCCACACTCCCTTTTTCATAGTAAGATGAAACAGGCCGTTCACTGTCCAAAAAAGATACTTCCATTAACACAATTCTTTATGATAATTTTGAGAAAATGAGAAAAAATACAGTGCTCAAGGTGAAGAAATAATGAATAGTCATGATATATAATGAACAATTATTTTGGTTTTCCATTGAGAAAATTACAAATTTATGAGACTTAGAAGTGGTAATACCCTACGATTATTTTGTATCTATACACTACCGATTGGTTTCACAGAATTATCTTATTACAGAAATACAAAGTGAGAGTGCAACATACAGAGCTAGCCTCCTTCAGAATCTTAAATGAGTTTGTAATAAAATAGTACAGTACATTTAAATAAGAAAATGAGCACAACAGCATTGCAAACCCTTTTGAGGTATGTCATATTTTTTGTATGCCCTAAGATAACTGAATAACTGAATTTTGATAATCTTCATGTTCCTCATCGCTGTCACTTTTCCAAGCAAATGACTTTTTTGAATTCTAGTATAATCATTTATTTCACTGTGCTTTTTATATGTAAGCTTCAAGCATGTACTAGCTATAGAAGTAATACTAGGAAAAAATTAAATTCAAGATTCACTGCCTTCGTATGAGGCCCAAGTAACCTGTTAACTTCAAAAGAAAAATATGAAGTTAGACAATTAAAGCATGTACAGTGCAACACGCAGTGATCTACACTACAAGTTCAATGCCATAAATTAGTCATTTAAGTTTGGAAGCTCTCTCAACTCCCCTCTACTTAAAATGAATCACTGAATTAACAAATGTTCTCTGTTTCTTCTAGAAAAGATACTGATCAGTATCAATGATCTATGAACATCTACAACAAGTAAATTATTCTCTAATACAAACCCTTAGCTCTATTTCCATTGACTTTCAGTGGCAGAAAAGAGGACTTCTACTGTAGACAGTTTCAATTTCAAGGGTTGGCCGTGCAATTAAAAAAAATTACCTATCATCTTTCTTGACATATTGACCAGTATTCTCATCAATCACATGAATTTTTACCATTGGGTGAGAAATCATAAAATCGGACTTAAGTCGATCAGTGCGGTGAATGTAAACTCCCAGGACAAGATCATCATCAAGCAAACATTTGGGATAAACTGGACTATCTCGGCTTGTTACTTCATGAACACCATCACCATCAGTTTCTTCATTATCATCTGAAACTACATGCATGGAATAAAATCAACATTATAATTAATTGTTCCCACAACAATATATTCAACAATATACACTGAATTTACATATAACCTTATCTTTATAATCCATGATTATTTGTCTTTGTTAACAAAGTAACTTCAAAAGAAAAGAAGGAAAAAGCCAGACAAGAGTAGATGACACTCGAGAGTAAAGTATTACATTTACTAATGCATTAAAATAGGGTGAGGAATCTTTCTTTTTTTCCCTAACAAGGACCAAGAACACAAAAAGAAAATAATGAGAACCAAAGACAAAAAAGCAATTTTATCTAGGTATTTTCTTAAGTGGAATATGCATCACTCAATTTGTAACTGTAATTTCTACTTCTGGGTAGGATGTAGTAGGATGTAGCCAGTCAATGCTTCTCGTAACAACAACTTGAAAAAGTCAAATGAATTACAAAAACCTTATTTTTAAAGGCATCAGAACAGTACAGAGACAATGTACAGCAGATGAACTAAAATTCCAGAGAGGGAGAATCATTCACTGATATGCTGATGGACTAGTAGCTGTTTTAGTCTCTGGGGACATTTGCTGATTCGGGGTGTGGGCTAATGATCAGGGTTTGGCCCCCACAAAAGGTCACCACTGGGAGAAAGACTACCTGCAAAACTTTTAGTGGTAAGTGGTTGATAGGGCTACAGCAGTCACATTAGAGATTTGAGGAGCCTCAAACACATAGCTAATTTTCCCCCACAAAACTGTATTCTGAGGCTACATGAGAGGCTACAGTAGTGAAATCTCCCAGGCTTGTGGGGAGATTTGGAGGAGACAAATGACCCACCAGGGGGAGGGGCCTGAAACAAAACCGGCAAAATAAAGCCCTAGAGAGCACTTTCCACCTATAGCCACTTTTCACCTGGGGTCACTTACCAATTCTGGGTGCAGGCATGGCCCCTGGCAGAAGGCCCCTACTGGGGTACAGAGAAACCAGCAGAGATTTTGGCACTCACGTGGGGCTGGAGTGACAAAATTGTAGACCTGAGGGGCCAAACACATGGCCAGTTCCCCCCCCACCCCCCGCTTCAAGATATCTGCCAAATTTTGAAGCTGAATGGGGCAGAAGGCTAAAGGACCAGGCTAAAAACCTCAGAAGGGCAAAACTGAATCTCCCAGTCTTTTAGACTGAGGAGACAAATACCTGCCAGATTCTCAGTTCAAAACTCCTGGAAGTCCACATCCTAGGAATGGAGCAAATCAAAGACAGTTTTTATCAAAACTACAATCCAGTCCTGACATAGCTCAATTCCTGATGGATTAAAATCAGTTTCCCACCCTATCTGCCTAAGAGACTAAGGAAACCTTTTCTAGTAAAAGATAAAATCATCTGGGACCTCTAGCACTCTACACACAATATCTAGTATAGAATAAAAAGTTACTGGGCATAAAAGAGGCAAGACTATATGACCAACAACTAGGAGAAAAGACCGAAAACAGAAGCTGACCCACAGATGATCCAGACTAGAGTTAGCACACAAGGACTTTAAATAACTATGGTTATTAATATGTTCAAGAAAATAAAGGAAAAAATGGGTTAAAATGGAAACTTTCTGCAAAGAACTGGAATCCATAAAAAAACAACAGACATTTTCATTTTGGAAATGAAAAATACAGCATCTGAGGGGTGTCTGGGTGGCTCAGGCTCAGTCAGTTGAGTGTCTGATTCTTGATCTCAGCTTAGGTCTTGATCTCAGGGTCGTGAGTTCCAGCCCTGCCTTGGGCTCCACACTGTGCATGGAGCCTACTTAAAAAAAAAAAAAAACAAAAAAAACCCCACAGCATCTGAAATTAAGAACTCAATAGATAGAGGTGTTTAATAGTATACTGGACACAAAGAAAGACATGATTAGTGAAAGAGAAAAAAGATCAGTATCAATATCCAAACAAGCATAATGGAAAAAATTTTAAAAAGAATATAGGGAAAAAACATAAGAAATAAGTAGACACACTTAAAAGAATATATGTGAATTTATAATCTAGAAAAAGAGAAGGGAATAATGAAGAAGCCACATTCTAAAAAATAACTGAATAATTGAATTTTCCACAACTGAGAAGTGATATCAACCAGTAAACTCTAAGCAGGTTAAATTGCAACAAAGCCATATTTAGGCATAACATGATAAAAGACTGACATCAAAGACAAAAAGAAAATCTAAAGATGAGTCAGAGGAAAAAAAAGTCACAATCCCACTAATGGGGCATAACTGCTGGAAACAGAAATGATGGAAGCCAGGAGATAACTATGATTTTTCCAAAGCCAAGAAAACCAACTTGCAACCTAAATTCTATGCTAGCAAATAGGATTCAAAAATGAAAGTAAAGGCATTTTACACAACAAAATCTGAGGGGATTAGCATATTAGGAGAAATTGAGCTCTTCAAGTAGATGAAAAATGGAAAAATGGAAATTCATTAAGGAAAAAGTAAATTTGGGGGTGAATATAAATTAGTATCAGCTGTACAAAATGGTCACTATAATAGCTGTAAAGTTTAAAATACATGCAGAACTAAAATGCATGATAAGAAACCTATGGGGCAGGAGAGAGAGAGAGACGCAGAAAAAGCACCTGACAAAATTCGGATGGAATTAAACTATTCTAATGTTCTAGCAGTGTTTTGTTAGGGAAGCATATTTTGTTAGGGAATTAACTTGTATTAGACTGTAGTAAGTCAAGAATAAACTTAATGTTCTTGAGGATAACAAAAAACTATAAAAGAATGTATAATTAACAAGTTAATATAAGAAGAAAAATTTTAAAATAAATAATTCAAAAGAAGGAGAAAAAGGAATATAAGACAGGTGGATCATACACAAAACAGGGTAAAACAAACACAAAACAGTGAGATAATAAATATAAGGACACAGAAAGACTGCAAACAAGAGGGTGTTTTTTTTTTGCTCTTTTGGGGGTGGTGCAGCACCTCACATTTACTGAGGGTCTGCTGCCAAGGAGCTCACAGGCTGGGGGCTGAGACCCCCATGTTCTAGGGTGGGGGAAGAAAAGAGGTGAAGGCAAAAAAGGAAGGAAATGCAGAGACACTGTGTCCCAAGTAAAGGAAGCCTAGGGGGTGGGGTGGGGGAGAAATGGAGTAATGGCAAGCTCTATCTAGACTGGGGACCATGGATCAGGCACAGGTCTGAAGGCTACCCCTTCTCTACCAAGTTGGCAGCACCTGGCAGTGTATTGTGGGTTATGACAGAGAAATGAGGATGGGAAAAATTATATTATGCAAACTCAAACTACAAGTAGACTACGAGGGAAAATTATTAAAGATAAAAAAAGATACCACATAATGATTGTTCTTGTACACTGAATGCTTGTGTCCCCATAAGATTCATATGTTGAAATCCTAACCTCCAATGTGATAGTACTAAAAGGTGAGGACTTTGGGAGGTGATTAAGTCATGAGGGTAGAGACCTTATAGATGGAATCAGTGTCCTTATAAAAGTGATAAAAAAAAGTGATCCCAAAGAGCTACCCTTCTATGTGAGGTTACAGTAAAGAGACATCAGTCTACAACCAGGAAATGGGTCCTCACCACACACAAATCTGTGGGTGCCTTGATCTTGGATTTTCCAGGCTCTGGAACTGTACAAATAACTGTTTATTGTTTAAGCCATCCAATCTATGATATTTTGTTACAGCAGCCTGAATGATTAAGACAACTTGGAAGTGTCAATCTGACAGGAAGATATAAGATTCCTAAACATGCACATAGTCAATAACATAACTTCAAAATACATAAAGAGAAAACACCTAACAGAAATAAAGAGAAAAGAGAGAAACCCAAAATCACAGTGTGAATTTTAATACCTATCTCAACAAATGGATAGAATAAGCAAGCCAAAAAAAAATCAGGAAGATGAGCTGGACACAATACAATTGATCTGACATACAAAGGACACTGTACCCAATGACACCAGAATTCACATTCTTTTTAAGTGCACATGACATATTTAGCAAATTGACCATAAGCTGGTCATAAAGAAAGGCTCAATAAATTCAAAAGATTGAAATCATTCACAATATGTTCTCTGACAACAGTGGCAGATAGAAACCAAAACAGAAAGGTAACTAGAAAATCACCTGTTGGCTGAGACGAAACAATATACTTCTAAAAATGGGTGATCAAAGGAGAAATTAAAATGGAAATTAGAAAATGTTTTTATTGGATGATAATGAAGATATATCAAAAATTTGTGGAATGCAGCTAAAGTAGTATGTAGATGAAAACTTAAAGACTTAAATACATATAAAGACTGAAATCTTATAAAATCTATCTTACAAAACTAAAAACAGCAAATCAAAGAAAGGAGAATGAAGAAACTAATACAAATAAAATAACCAAACAGTACACAAATGTGGAACAGATACAATCAAAGCCAATGGCTGATTCTTTGAAAACTGAAAATCCTGAGACTGACCAAGAAATTAAAAAAAAAAAAAAAAACAAATTCCAGTATCAAGGGACACCCTTTCAGATGCTGTAGACAGACAAAATTTGAAAATTTGGATTAAATGAACAAATTCCTCAGGAAATACAGTCTCTCAAAGCTGACAGAAAAAACAAAATATGAAGAGTGATATTTATTAAAGAAACTAATTCTGATTTAAAATTCTTCCCACAAGGAAACCTTAGCCTATAAGGCTTCATTAGTAAATTCTTCCAAACATTTATGGAAGAAAAAACCAATTTATATAAATGCTTCCAGAGAATTGAAAAAGATGAAACATTTCCCAACTATTTTTGAGATTATCAAAACCTTGATATCAAAAACTCTGGGTATTTCAAGAAAGGAAAAGCACAAACCATTCTCTCTCATGACCCCAGATACAGAAGTTCTATACAAAGTATTAGCAAATCAAATCCAATAACAGATTAAAAAATATATACATATATAGAAAGAGAATACATCATAACCAAGCTGCAGGTCCCTCTAACCCCTGCCAGGAACACAAAGATGGCTTAATATTCAAATAATTAACCACATTAATAGAGAAAACGGTGAAAATTTATACGATCAAATCGAAAGACACAGACAAAGCACCTGGTAAAATTCAATATCTATTCATGATTTTAAAACACCATTAGCCAATTAGAGTACAAGGTAACTCATAAACTTGATAAAAAGTATTTACAAAAAAGCCCACAGCAAACATTACACTAAGCGGCGAATTAGCGGCGAATTAATGGAAGCTTTTCCCCAAGGTATTTAACACTGTAATGGAAGTCCTAGCTAGTGTATCAAGGCAAGAAAAAGGAATAAGATATAAGGACTGAAAAAGGCACAATGAAACAATCATTATTAACAGGTGATATACAATAGGATAACGTATGTAGAAAATTTAAAACAATCCATGGATACACTCATAGAAGTAATAAATGTAGCAAAAAAACTGGCTACAATTTTAATTTTTTAAAAATCAATTAGATTTCTCTGTGCATATATTTTTATGCATGTATGCACACAAACACACACACCGGCAACAAACAGAAAACAAAAATTTAAAAAAACAATGCCATTTATGACAGCATTAAGAAACATCAAATACCTAGGAATAAATCTAAGGACAGACTCTCCCAAAACTTAACTATATTACCAAGATAAACTGGAGACATAAATAAATGGAGGTGCATATCAATTTCATGGATGGAAAAAATTAATACTTTGTAAAGATGTCAACTCTATCTAGAGGGTTGTTAAATTGTAAATCTCTTCAGATTCACCCAATCTGGATCAAAACAATGGTGGGGATGGGGGAAGGAAGAGGGAGAATTGAGAAGCTGCTTCTAAAATTCATATGGAAATGCAAAAGTCAAAGAATAGCCAGGTAATGCTAAAGAAGAAAAAACTGTTGGAGTACCTACACAGCTGAACAGCAAGATCTGTTATAAAGCTATAGTAATTAAGTCATCTTGTGTTGCTACAGTCTAATGTAACAGAATAGAAAATGATCCATTCCCATAGTCATGTTATTTATGATAAAGGTGACACTGCAATACAGATGAAAAAAGATGCTCTCTTCCATTAATGGTACTAGGTCAACTATATGTTCACACGGGAAAAAAATGGGTCTTAAGCACTACCTCTTACCATACACAAGAATCAATTCCAGATGAACTGCAGAGCTAAATGTGAAAAGCAAAACAAAAAACTTCTAGAAAATAATATATACAAAAACATCTTCGGGACTTGGGAAAGATTTCTCATATCACAGAAAGCACTTACCATCAAAGGAAAAAATGGATAAATAGGGCTATATCAGATTTTAAAATTCTGGGTTTTTCAAGAGATACCAGTAAGAGAATAGTAAAACCTTGAGTGGGAAGATGTCTGCAATATATATGTGTGTATGTATTCATATCTGAGAAAAGACTGATGTCTAGCTACATAAAATATTCTCACAAATTATAAAAGGCAGACAATGCCATTTCTTAAAAATACACACAACAGACTTAAACAAATGTATGAATAAAGAAATCCAAGTAGACAACAAACATGAAGAAGATGCTCAATTTCATTAGTTATGAAAGTTTAAAGTAAAACTGAAATATTATTATACACTATACACTAAGAATGGCTAAAATTTTTAAATACTCACAATATAAATGTTAGATGTGGAGCACTGAAGGCTCTCAAATACTGCTAGTATCAACTGGTAAACCAACTTTGGAAAATGGGAAATATTTATTAAAGTGAAAAATATACATAATCTCTGACATAGTAACTCTCTCCTAAGAAGATGCCCAACAAAATAAAAATATTAGAAAGCAGTGAGGAATACTTTTTCAGTTTTTCTTTAGATTAGATGCTAGATTTAAAGGATCACAGCCATGTTTCTAAGTAGCGTTTCCCAACCTGTGTCCTACCAAGTTAGTAGTTCTGAAAGACACAAGAACTTCATAAATAAAGAATTCTATGCTTAAAAAATAAAGATGCCCAACAAAAAATGTATATATAAAATGCTTGCCAGAAGACACGACTAGAATATTATAGTTTTATTTGTAAACACCTAAAACTAGAAATAGCTCAAACATCCACCTGTACAATTGGCAAATTATTCACACAATGGATATCTATATAGTGCAAAAGCAGAACTGATAATGAAGAAGCTCAGCTGCATGCAACACAGTCTAAATCTCACAAAAATAATTTTGAGTGAAAGAAGTCAGGCACAAAGAGCACAGTATTTCTGATTCTATTCACATTAAAGTAGAAAAACAGGCAAAAATAAACTGTGTTAGATGTTAAGATAATGTTTACTCCTGAAGAGCAATGAATGGGAAGGGGACTTTCGGGGTTTCTGGTGCTAACAGTGTTGTTTCTTGATTTGGATGACGATTTTACAGGCAGTTCAGTTTGTGAAAATCCACTAAGTAGTCTACTTGTAACATGTACACTTTTCTATGTATATATCATATTTTAACGAAGTTTTTACAAATGTATAAGAGGAACAAAGCATCATCAATTGTACAGCCAATGAACAACTACCATAAATTCTAAAATGGCCTATTTTGGCCCCAAATTTTTGGCCAATTAAATGGAGACTGAAAAGGAAAAAAAGAATGTAAGAAGTAGGAAAAAGGCAATAGTAAGTAAAGGAACATAAGAGGAGGAAAGAAATGAGTAAAGAGGAGATAGAAAGCAAGAGCGTGGGAAGGAAGGACAGAAGCCGAATTAGGCTGAGGACGTCAGAAGACAATCACGTGGGACAGAGGGATGCAGCCTTAACATCTGAAAAGTTTATTGGCCATTGACCATTTACAGCTTTCAAAAAATATGAGTCTGAATTATTTACGGGTTCTAAACTCAATGGTATAAAGAAGAAATCTGTGCCACAACAGCAACAAAGTTAAGGTCATTCTAGGGTTCAATTAAATTAAGTCAAGAATCAGAGATAACGTAAGTAATATTAACTCACCACAGAGACCCATAGTTACAACTAAATGAATGTTTTAATATACATGAATCCAAGAACAAGGGCCACATACAGTTGACCCTTGAACAAGGCCAGGGTTAGGGGCGCCAACCCCCTGGGCATTTGCAAATCTGTGTTTAACCTCTGACTCCCCCAAAACTTTACTAATAGCCTACTGTTGACCAGAAGCCTTATTGATAATATAAAGAGTAGATTAACACATATTTTACATGTTACATGTATTATATACATATTATATACAATACAGCAAGCCAAAGAAAGTGCTATAAGGAAGTCATAAGGAAAAGGAAATACATTTAGAGTATTATACTTTTTTATCGAAAAATAATCTGTAACTGGACCTACACAGTTCAAACCCATGTTGTTCAAGGACCAACTGTATTCTATATTGGATTTTTTTAATTATAGTCTTTGGGACTGGATTTTTAGTTTTAAGGACTCAAAGTCCTAGAATCAAGTTATTTCCACCAAGGCACATATTTTTCATTTAATTTGGATAACAAACCTGTTTTAGCCTTCTTTTTCTTTTTTTTTGGTTTGAATTTTGTGTCATCTTGCATGCTGTCTTCTACATTGTCTTCCACTGAGCTTATCTTATTATCTTGTTGAGAATCTGAAGTAACTGTTCTAACTGGAGAGCCCTTCTTTTGTTCACTTTCAACTGTGTCATCGGAGATGGTCAGTGTACTGCAAATACAACCAAAGTACAAGCCGTTACAAATACATTCATCTTTTTTTTTTTTTTAAAGATTTATTTATTTGACAGAGAGAGAGACACACACACACAGTGAGAGAGGGAACACAGCAGTGGGAGCAGGAGAGGGAGAAGCAGGCTTCCCGCGGAGCAGGGAGCCCGATGCGGGGCTCGATCCCAAGGCCCTGGGATCATGACCTGAGCCAAAGGCAGACGCTTAACGACTGAGCCACCCAGGCGCCCCCAAATACATTCTTCTTCTTAATGATGCAGCAAAGTGAACAGTGAACAGAGTCAAGGAAAATCCTAAAATCAAGATTCTTTCCTGCTAGGGGATATATATATATATATGTATATATATATATTTTTAAAGATTGTTGACAGAGAGAGAGAGTGTACAAGCAGGGGAAGCAGCAGGCAGAGGGAGAGGGAAAGCAGGCTCCCCGCTCAGTAGAGAGCCCCATACGGGGCTCAGTCCCAGGACCCTGGGATCAAAACCTGAGCTGAAGGCAGACGCTTAACCGTCTGAGCCACCCAGGCGCCCCTAGGGAATACATATATTTTATTATGCACTAAAATGGTGAACTGTCAAATTAAGTATCAACGGGTATTATTTTGTATTTGTTAATGAGTTATATACCCATGAGTCAAATTAAACTTCAGCTCTAAACTCCCAGAAAAATATAAAGTTGTATATTTTATGAGCAATAGATCTGTTTTTCCATAGGGATGATGAAAGCACCCTCATCCCGTTGCCAGGTCAATGATTAATGAACAAATTTCTAAATTACCTTATTTAAAAGCAAAAAAAGTGTTCTAAGTTTGTTCTGCTTTCAAGAGGCTTCAGATACTCAACTTTTGATTTCTAGGTAACAGTTAATTACTTGTCTTTTCCAGTGGCTAGCATGCCACTACATTTTCAGGAGGCCATTATTAAAATGAAAATGTGCATCACATGAACTAATAAATGAACTATACTCATTGTAGAGAGAAACCAGCCTATTAAAGTTTGTAATTTATCAAGTAAAAAATCTGCATCTAAATAATAATAAACTGACTTCCAATATAGTCATATTTTTTAAAAAAGAGGTTGAGAAATAAAAAGAGTAGAAAAATATTTCAAAATAGTCATTCGAGAAAGCCATGCTATTTTATCACATCACCAAATACTATTATTTAAAAAGAACTACCTTTTGCATGCCATGGTCATCTAACCCATGGTTTTATTTAAAATTCAAGAACTAACATTTAATAGAGAGTATGTCTGACCAGCTCATAACAGATATGGTAGCTGTAAGAAAGACTGACGGTATACTGTGGCAAGTAGCCTCTAATATGGCCCTCAATGATCCCTGCCTCCTGCTATTAGTATCTTTGTCTAGCCCCTTCCCTTGATTGTGGGCTGGACCTAGTGACCCACTTCTAACAGACAAAATATGACCAAAAGTAATGGATGCCACTTCCAAACCAAGATTAGGTTCCATAAAGACTATGACTTTCTCTCTCTCTCTCTTTCTCTGTCTCAGAGCCCTTGCACTGGGGAAGCAAGTGGCCATGTTGTGAGTAGCCCACATGGAGAGGTCCATGTGGCAAGCAACTGATGTCTCTGGCCAAAAGTCAGTCAGGACCTGAGACCTGCCAAGAACCACATGAGTGAGCTTAGAAGTGGATATTCCAAGGCTTCCAACAGCTCTGTCACTTGCAAATCCTTCTCCAGCCAAGCCTTAAGATGATTACATCCCCAGCTGACATCCTGACTGTAGCCCAAGAGAGATCCTGAGTCAGTGGTACCCACTTAAGCCATGCTCAGATTCTTGATCCACGGAAACTGAGAGACAATAAATGTTTGTTGTTCTGCTAAGTTCTAGAGTAGCTTTTTTTGTGCAGCAACATAGTAATACATTGAGTAACATGTTCGAGTACCAACTCTTTTTGCCCTCCTTTTGTTACCACTGGTGTCTAGCTTTTGGTAAGAGGTGAATTATTTTTAGATGAGGATAGTAAGGGAACCTGTCCCTGACGCCAGGAAATAATCAAACATAGAATGTTCCCACCTCAAGTTGTTTATGTAGATGTGGACTGCAGAAAAAAAAAGTTAATTAGTTAAAAGATATTTTTTATCTTGTTTTCCCCAAAGACATATAAATTTAAATATGATCACAGAAGCACTCACATTGCATATGCAAACATATATGTATAGGTATCATATATAAAAAAAGACTAGCATGCTAAATTGCTTATAATGATTACCTTTAGATGGTTAGGTTATTTTTATCTTCTTTGTGTCTTTATTGTATGTTCTACAATAAGCAAATATTATTTGTATAACAAAGAAAAACACTATATTCATATATCCAAATAGGCATTTGTAACTCAAAAAAGGGAAATTCGGTTTCTATTATTAGCAGATGTAAGTAAGTATTTAAGGTAGACACTTTAGAACAAGACTGCTGAGGTCTTGGCTCAGCTTCTTACTGGTTCTGTGACTTAAACCCTTCAAGTTTTCTTATCTGCAAAATTACTATTCCTCACAAGGTTGTTACAAGGAATTAAGTGAGTTAATTCTTATAAAGCATTTAGCACATACTAAGGTGCTATGGAAAGGGTAACTGTTATTACTGTACTGGCAATGTATCCACATGAAAGATTAAGAATTTTCTTAGTGTAACTACAGATATCACTCAAAAGCTGAGAATACTAGTGTTTTTTAAAGAGGACATTTTATATTTGTCACTGCAAAGTACCTTGTTTCAGCTTTAGACGAGACTGGAACTTTCTTTTTTTTCTTTATTTTTTTCTCACTGTTCAATTTGCCATCATGCAATGAAGTATCTGAGGGAAAGTAAGTCAACTGTTCTTTGAGTTTCTTTCTTATTTTCTTCTTAATCTCCTTCGCCATTTCTTCAGCTACTTGGAGTTGGTATGCTTGCATCAGTTCTTCTTCCTCATCTAAATTATTATTTTCTCTTTCTTCATCTGCCTTCTTGCTCTTCTGATAAGCAACACCTGGCTGTGACCTGGTTTGTGCTTTCTGGTGTGTGGAATCCACCTTCCTCACAGGAGCTTCCAGTTCCATTCCTTGTGCAGTCATCTGGAGTACTGTTTTCATAACCTTTTTACTTGCCTTTCCTTGCTTGTCTTCCTCTACACTAACATCAACTGGATTTTCAGGTGTTGACTGGGGATTCCTTAGTTTGCTTTTAGTGACTGGGTTATTAGTGTTCATAGCACTTACATCATCACTTTTAGTTTCTTTACTTTTCGGAAGATTGCTTCTAACAGTGTCAAGCTAGGAAAAGAAGACACGGTAACAAAGTTTCAGTCAAGCACAGTTCAATGATACAAAGATAAAGCACAATAATGACTGTGCTTATCCCAATGTAACATTGGGAAAATTATTTCATCTTTTACTTGAACACACTGATACCATTCTAGACCATCTCATTAGCACTATCATAATTTATTCTCTTGGCATTAGATTCGTAATTTCTGAGAGTAACTTCAGATTAAATGAGATAATTAACATGGGGAAAATACTTAATGACTTTTCAAAGTGAATAAATTGTTCATATCTCCAATGTTACTTCTTCTCTTTGGCAGAATGATCCATACTTAAATTACAAGATATTTGAGAAATTGCTAAAGGAGCCACAGAGTTAAAGCATTTTAGGTTTCCCAACAGAAAACACACACAGGTCATTTATCTTACTTCATAATTACATTCTAAAATCAAAAGTCTGTAGTATAGAATAACCCTACAATTAATCCAAATACATTACTGAAAATGCTGCCAAATATTCAATATTATCAAATTAAGTCAAATGACAGACTAAACACACCTGTGTATCTTTCTCTAATCAAAATTATTTTATTTTTTAAGATTTTATTTATTTGAGAGAGAATGAGAGAGAGCACGAGAGGGAAGAGGGTCAGAGGGAGAAGCAGACTCCCTGCTGAGCAGAGAGCCCAATGTGGGACTCGATCCCAGGACTCCAGGATCATGACTTGAGCCGAAGGCAGTCGCTTAACCAACTGAGCCACCCAGGCGCCCTAATCAAAATTATTTTAAATGGGATATTTTTAATAAAAAAGGCTAGAAATCAAAAAGGAATGCTACTAGTAATAAAATAAATATTCTGAGAAATTTCCCAAGGATAAAAAATAGGCAGGATTAGATCTATTAAGAAATTAGCAGATAAAACCACAGCCCATAGGAAAAGAACCAGAGAAGGATGATTCTGAAGAAGCCATAAGTCCAGAGTCAAGTAACACAAGGAGAAGGAGGGGATAAAACTGAGGATGACCAATTGAGCTGGGAGGGACAGCTCTGTCCCCCACCTCCATTTGTGTTAGATGGTGACTTTCATTCAAAGGATAAAGCCGCTGAATATAAAGAAATATGGCAGCATGCTTCAGGTAGGTACAACCCTCACCAAAGACAGTAGATTATGTTGAAAACAACCAACAGGCAGGAGAAGAGAGATTCTCATATAGAAAGATGACTGACTAGACATTTAAAAACGAATAAAAACTGAAGGAAAGTAGCAAAATGAAAGAAAAGCCATCAAATCCAATAAAACAGAAAAATTAATGAGGGAAAGTGAATTAAAAGCATAAAATTAGAACTTAAAGTGTAATTAATATCAAAGAAATTCAAAAGCATATTGGATTTAAAAAACATAATTGCAGACATTAAAATTAAAATTTTGAGTAAGAGCTTAAAAGATGTGTTGAGAAACACAAGGGACAAACCAAAGTGCTAAAAGATGGAAGCCAGTATCAAAACGAAGAATTCTTTCAGAAATGGATGAGCTTACCAATGAAGAATAAAGTTCAATTTTTTTAAACAGATTTCAGAGAGAGAAAAAAAGAGAGAGACAGCACAAGTGTGTGTGAGAGTGGGGGGAAGGGCAGAGGGAGAGAATCTCAAGCAGATTCCCCACTAAACACAGAGCCTGAGGCAGGGCTCGATCCCATGACCCACTAGATCATGACCTGAGCCGAAATCACTTAAATGATTGAACTACCCAGGCACCCCTGAAGTTCAATTTTTTTAAAACCCTCATGTTTAAAAGTAGTTAGAAAATGTCCAATATATGATGGAGAAATGTTGAAAGGATTAGTATCCCAATATGTACCCAGTATGTTATCTCTAAGACTCTTTTGCTTACCTACAATATATTTCCAAATTCTATCTATTCTTCAATGATAAATTATGGAGCGATACCCTCTAAAACATCTTCCTGAATCAAGTCTAATAAAAATAATTTCTCTTAAAAATAAGTTTATTTTCACATGTTTTGTTTCTAGAAGCAATACATGTTTAACTTAAAACAATAAGAAAGCAAAAAATTAAAAATACAAAGAACCAGAAAACAATTAGAGAAAAAGAAGACCCAAAGCTCAACTCTGGGTGCTTCACACAAGGAAAATCACCACTAATCTTTTCAGAAACTTATGTTTGTCTTCTTGCTATCAATATAGTCATACCTAATAACTTCGAATTTTCATTATGTTAAAATGAAGCACATACAAATCTTTCTTTTTATTTTCTCAGGGAGTACGAGAAATGTAGTGGGAATATATACAAATTTCAAGGACACTCCTGAAGGAAATAACTGGAAAAAGATAACCAAGAATTAGAAATGGAAGGAAGAATTATGGTTTAGAAGAAAAGATTTCAAAAATGGAACCATGGGACAGTTAATCAGAGGACATTCACAGTTTTTTATTTACTTTCTTTCACTGATCTGTCAACCTTTGTACTAATATCATTTAATTTTATACTATGACTTTATATTTGTTTTTCAAGTTTCTGCTTTATTCAATTAACTTTTTTTAAAAAAGATTTTATTTGAGAGAGAGAGAAGTGTGACAGAGATAGGGAGAGAGAGCATAAGCCGGGAGGAGAGGGAGAAGCAGGCTCCCGCTGAGCAGGGAGCCCGATGTGGGGCTCAATCCCAGGACCCCGGGATCATGACCTGAGCCAGAAGGCAGAAGCTTAATGACTGAGCCACCCAGGTGCCCCTTCAATTAATTTTTAAAAACCACAACAATAAATACAATTCCCAGGGTATCTTTTGTAGTATTCCATACATTCCACAGTACTGTATTGTTTTTATTACTTTTTAAAATATCCTGCTTTTTTTGTTCTAATTTCCTTTCTCTCACTAACAACTGTATGGGATGATTTTTAAATTTCCAAACGGTTTATAAATTTTATATTTGTTATTTGTAGTTTTGTGGTACTATAGTTAAAAAACGTCTATTTTATGGATTTTAATATTTCAAGGATTAGGTTATGGCTGAATTTTGAAGTGCTCCAAATACATTTGTTCATGTTCTATTACATCTTTGCTCATCCTTGTATCTTTTTTTTTTTTTTAAGCAGGAAAAAATCAAACAGAAGTTTAATAACGTGTATCCATGGGAGAGACCCTGGAAAACAGGGTAAGTCCCCGGTGGCCACAGCCACCACCTTCTCCTATCCTTTTATCTTTACCCTTCTGTGTGTCAGGCTTTTTGCTTCAGTTTGTTTTTTAAATCAGCTTTACTGAGATACAACTTACATACAATAAAATTCACCAATTTTAAGTACAGAATTAAATGAATTTTGGTAAATGTATACAGACATATGACTACTACCATAATCACAATGTTAAACATTTCCATCACCCCAGATGTTCTTGTACAAAGTCAACCTCTAGTCCTCCACACCCTAGCCCCACTCAAGCACTCATCTGCTTTCTATCAAGATAGTTTGGTCTTGTCTAGAATTTCACGTACATGGAATCATACAGTATAGAGCCTTTTGTGACCAGTTTCGTTCACTCAGCATAGAGCTTTGGAATTCATCCGTGTTGTTCCATCTGTAGTTTATTCCTTTTTATTGCTGAGCAGTATTCCACTGCATGGATACATACCACATTCTGTTTCTCCATACACTAATTAATGAACATTTATTTCTAGTTTTGTACCATTACATTTTCATTTCTCTTGCATAAACACCCAAGAATTACTGAGCTGTATGATAAGTAGATGTTTAACTTCTTAAATATCTGCCAAACTTCCCAAAGTGGCTGTACCATTTTGTATTCCCAAATGTTTAAGAGTTCCACTTACATAACATCCTTGCCAGCATTTGGCATTGTCATTTCATTTTTTAGCTGTCCCAATATGTGTGTAATGGCATTTCATTATTGTTTTAAATTGCATTTCCCTAATTAGTAACGACACTGAAAATCTTTACACGTACTTACATGCTATCTGCATCTCTTCTTTGGTTAAGTGTTAAAATCTTTTGCCCATTTTCACTGGGTTATTTTCAAATCATTGAGTTCTGAGAGCATTCTTAAAATGTTCTACATACACTTTCTCAGTGTGTTGAAAATATCTTCTCCAAATCTGTAGCCTATCTTTCCATTTTCTTAGCAATATTTTGAATTTTCACAAAGCCCAATTTATCTTTTTTCTTTTATGATTCATGTTTTTGTATCCTGAGAAATCTATTCATAACCCAAGGTTACAAAGGTTTTATCCTGTTTTTTCTATAAGTCATAATTTTAGCTCTTATGCTTAGATCTTTGATCCATTTCTATTTAATTTCTGAACATGATATGGTCATAGTTTATAATACTGCATATGGATATCTGTTCCCGCATCATTTGTTGAAAAGATTATCCTTTTTCTCACTCCTTGGCAAATTCTGGCACACCCTGGCAACTTTGTCACACCTTGGCAATTTTTGTCAAGAATCAATTAACTATATACATTTGGGTCTACTTCTAGGTTCTGTACTACCCCCACTGACTTATATGTCTATCTTTACGACAATAATGGGCTGTCTTGGTTACTATAACTTTACAGTGAGCTTTGAATCCAATAGTAAAATTCTTTCAACTTTGTTCTTCCTTTTCAAAACTGTTTTAGCTATTCTAGGTCCACTGCTTAAATTTCCAAGTAAATTTTATAATTAGATTTTCAATTCTTAAAAAAAATACTGGCATTTTGATAAAATTGAATTGAATCAATAGATCAATTTTCAGAGAATGGATAATGTTCTGTCAATAATTATTTGACAAGAATGATTCTCCAATCCATGAACACAAATATCTATTATTTGATCTTTATTTTCAGCAGTTTGGGGTTTTCAGTATACAATAAGCCTTGTACAGTTTTTGATAAATGTATTCTCAATTGCTCTATACTTTTGTTGCTACTATAAATGATATTTTTTATATTTTAACTTCAAATTATTTCCTACTGGTATAGAAACAAATTGGTTTTTAT